TAGAAAAGTATTCTGTGCAGAACCAGTAATCTAATTAACATTTACTAGCCACTGTGATAACCATATAAAGTGAGAAACAAGTTCATAAAATGCCATAGCAATAATTTCTAGAAAGTAGTTTTTCTCCTACAGTTCTAATGAAAAATGTCATTTTATTACTTTTAAATAAGACACAGTTTCATTAATAATAAAGTTGTGATTTGAAAACAAACTAATAACATGAAAATTTTATTACCCAGTATTCAACAGCATGTGATTCTCTGAGATGTTATCTCCAAAACTCATTTAAACTACTACCAAAGACAGGGTAATTGTAATGACTAATTACTAATACTCAGCTTCAACTGTAATGTTCTTGGCCACGGGGAAAACTATACACAGTTTCCTGAGTTGGGTGAAAGAGAAAAAAAAATGCTCTTCAGCAACTGAAAGGTGATTTTTTTTTAAACTAAAATCAAGAACAAAGCCATCCTATAGAGGAGACAATAAACATTTTATCAATGAATGTTTATTTCTGAAAATTAAGTTTTACATTTTCTTCTCTAAGTATTTAGAAGGAAACTAAGAAGGATCAAGGCACTACTGATTGAAGGCTAGGTTCCCTTCCCATCTGTACTGTCCAATGAACTGACTAATGTGTTATGGCCTTTGTAACTCTCAGACTCTCCTCAAATTGCTATGTCACATCAGTCACTAATAAAGGAACAAAGATGTCAAGAAAATTAATGAGCTAATGTTAATAAGGGAACAGATCAGCATAGTATAAAAGACACTACACATAAATACAATATATTATCATTTCCTTTCATAGCCATTTCATAAGGAGCCTTTTAACTGGGATAGTTTTTGAATGCCCAAACACTAAGGCCCTATTCTAAGATCCCTGAGCCTCAGGATGAAAGAAGTGAGGCAGTTCTCATGCTCTGAGCTTAAAATATCAAGTTCAACATATGCTTATTATTTGTTTTTGAAGTTCAATAGAGGCTGATGACTCTACTAAGACAACAGTTTCTCCAAGGAAAATTCGCAATCTTTAGCACAGAGAGATAGAAGTGAATCTTATTTTCTCTTTTGTACAGCCAACAGTTTTAAATGGAGAAGAGACTCAGAATCTTCAACCTTTAGCTGAAGACTTTCAAAGTGAGGCATATTTGAAAGTGGAGATTCAGTAATTTAAGTACTTTGTGGATGTTAGTTAAGTCAGATTCATGAATTCAGTACTTTGAGATTTGTGCATAAAATATGACGGTTAAGGTTTTTAGATTTTTTTTCCTAAGGAAAAATTTACACTATTTGTTGATATGTGTAGGAAAGAAGGATCTTTTAGTTAGCAGAGTTCAATCATTAGAGAGATTTTAATTTAAACACAGATACAGTCACAAAACAAATCAAACTGCTTCCTCTATCTGGAAGATAGGATTTTCCAATGAAATCAGTTTTTTTTTTTTTATTACAGAATCGCAGCTGCCACTCTGAAGACTGTAGATTCTCTCCCTAGATTGTGAAAATGATTCACTAAAAACTATTTTAAAAACAAACAAAGGGAAGAAGAATATCTAGAAGTATTAATAATCCATTTTTTTCAACTCCATAATTATTGGTTTTAACTTAATCTAAAAGGGTGATATAAATATATGCAGAAATATAAGTAAAAATTATCCACTATCTACAAGGAAAATAAAATTTCAGCATAATAGAAAATTTACCTAAAAATCCTTAAATTAACATATTGAACTATAAAATAAATGACTATATTTTTAAAGATGCTGTTAAAATTAGAAATTTATTTTCAAAATGGTAATAAAGGACAGGGTTTTCTCCAACTTTAATAGACAAAATACAGGTTCCAATTTGTAACCACTTATATAGTTAATATCTGTCTTTTGGCAAATATTCTTTGAAGATTTAAATATCCAGAGAAAGAAAAAAGCATGGAGTTAATGTTTTGAGAAAATAAATAAGATGGAGGAAAAATAAGATTCTTTACAAAGGAGTTCAGAGACATCTAGTGGTTGTTAATATATTGTAGTTTTATTCCTTGATAACTGAGTAAGAAGACTGTATAGTTCTAAGATCATCTTATAATTGCAAACAGCATGTCTTTTCTTGCACTTTGAACCTCTTCATCCTATTGCCTTAGTTTAGTAACTGCAGAAACTAGACCCAATATCAGGCTTTCAACCATTTTAAAATTAGTAAAATATCACAGAATTCAATAAATAAATGTTTCAACACATAAAAGGGCAATATTCAAAAGTGTAATTTCTTGGAAAATGAAGTTAAGCATTTTTCTTTTACAAACTACTGAATCTGCCCTAAATTATGTCATTACATGCATAAAAATCCAAGTGGTTAGAAATCTAAGTGTGTGTCTTTGAAATGAATTGTATTCATAGATATCCTAAGTGAGATGGCAAACTAACTTATTGCCCAAGTCTGCCAACAGTCAAAATCTCATTTCTAAAACACAATTTAAAAAGCAATACTATATTGTTCTTCAATAATCTACTTCAACGATCCAACGAACCCTATCAAACAACTGTTCTTTCCCTAAATCTAATCATTGTCCTTTGTCCTGCAGATTAATTGCTATCTTTTTCATTCTTCCTTCAATTCCATTTTATTGTAGTAACATACACACCTTTCCATGTTCTCTTATATAAGTGAAACACTTAAATATCATGCTATAATATTCAACTGAAATATTGTTCCAACTGGACTAAGTCCTTACAGAACCTGGATTGAGTGAAAGTATTTGCTAACTCTCCCAAAATTATGTCATCCAAAAATCTGATGGGTACATGGTAAGGATATGATCCTTGCACACTCTCTAAGTGTGTGTTAAAGGTTGGACAAATAGTATTCAAAAGCCTCTTCCAAAATAATGCCATCAACAGAACAGCTCATATTTTCCTTTTTATTCATCAGTGTGAGCTGAAAAGATAAAATGAATCAAAAAAATATGAAGCACTTTTTCATACCCTAAAGAACTTTAGAAAATAAAATATTTATGAGAACAACTTAAGCTATGGATGCTATTTTACAACTACTCACAAAAGCACTGCTTGGATTGTTAGGTTTGAGTTCTTTTTAGTTTTAGCCTATATAGATCCATTTTTGTTTTAATGACCTTGGCTCACGAATGAATTTCAATGACAACATTGAAAGTGGTTTCACATGATGCTGAGCATGGCAGAAACTCTCTAGTCCCAAAATTTGGAAGGATACTGCAGGAAGATTTTGAACTCGAGGACAGCCTGAGCTACATAGCAAGTTCCAAGCCAGCCTGAGCTACATAGTAAGAACCTTGTCGATAAAGTGATTAATATTAATAAACTACAACTTCTTGAGTGTGATCATTAACAATGCTGTTATATAGCACTAGGTTTTAGTAAGAGCCAAATTCATGTTGGAAAGCAATAGAGGGAATTTCAGAGGATAAAAATAAGATATCCTTTACTAAACTATATATTTTTGTAATGTTCTTATGAAGACTCAATTTGGGCTACAATCTCTTTTCAATGAAAACAAATTTTTAAGTCATCTGAACAGTCTCAAATGTCAGCTGGTTAGTTATAAAAAGGAAAGTGTACCATCAAGTGGTGATTCGTGAGAACTATAGCATAAAAAAAGTAGTGTGACAACCTGACACAACATTGCTGGTGATGCCCTGCAAAAAGAGACTCACAGTATCAATACTTAACCATTTTTGCCCAAGACAGTAAACCTAAATTAACCAATGAACAAATTCTGAGGGACAGTGTGGATCACTCTACAGGATAACTAGCCCTGCACCTCTTAAAATAGTGACATTTATGTTTATGTATGTGTCTATATACATAAAGCAATAATAACTGAAGAAAAGTGGGTCATTAATTTGAGAAGGATTAAGGGAAATATGGAAGGAGTTGGAGGGAGGGCATATAGGAGATGAAGAAACCTGGAGAGGGGAATAGTTTGATTTTCATTTAAAAAGTTCCACTATGAAAATCAAAACACTATGATTTACAAGAGACTAAAAAGAACAAATACTCAAGAACAACCTGTGAATTTGCCAGATTATTTTAAAAAGAAGTTATAAAACACCTTTGGAGAACTGCCAGAAAAGTCTGTTTATGGGATTTTGTGTTACTGAACCAATGTTAATATTTTCATGTAGGGTTGTAGTTTTTACGTAGCTAGATATACTTATTCCGAGGGGATATATATTAATTATTTTATTATTCATTTTAAAGGTTTATAATTATTTGTATTTATCTGTGTGTCTATGTCACATTTGTGTGAGTGCCTGCAGAGTCCAGAAGAGGTCTTTCAAAAACCTGGAGCTGGTGATACAGGTGGTTTTGAGCTACTTCAGACTGAACTCAGGTCCTCTGACAGAGCAGCAAGTACTCTTAGCCAAGGAGTCATCTTTCCAGCCATCCTCATTTTTTCCCATGAGGAAGGGGTGCATGTGTGTGTGCATCTGTATATACATGTGTATGTGCTCACTGTTTGTATGTATGTATGCGTGTGTGTTTGTGCATGGATTTTTTTGTTTGCATGTGAGTGGGCCCATTGTTCATGCATGTGCAGTAGAAGCCTGGGGATGATGTTAGGAATCCTCCTATATACAGAAGTATCTACACTGTAGATTCTACAATGAACAATTACATTGTCTGCAACTTACATTAAAATGATTCATAAATGTATATACATACATAAATATCTCACATAAACAAATATTTACTAATATAAAATGCAGATGCATTCCTGAATATAGATGTTTTGATATTTCTGAACATATTCACATTATATATAGATTATACACACAAACATATATATATATATATATATATATATATATAGTCTGTGTGTGTATAATATGTAACTGTATATTGAAAGAGATAGGAAAGAAAACTAATATAACAAAATGTTAACAAATTGGAGGAGCAAAATTAAGGGGAAGATTTGAAATGTGTACTCTTCCAAAATAAGCAAGTAACATAAGGAATACATACCATGGCAGTTCTGGACTTGATAAACCAGTCAAATCTAAACTGGGGAGCATTCCGTACGCATTGTCTTAATTCTTCATACACATTTTCTCTGTCAAAGCCCATTTTGTGTAACATACAGATCAAGAATCTGTCTTCTTCTTCAGTATAATTCTTTCCTTTGCTGGTTCCATACTGAATACGCAATTGATGAAATGGAGCCTTGTATCTTGCAATCTGAATGTTTCAACAAAATTGCATTTTTAACAGAATGTGTAATAACAAGTCACTATTTATTTGCTAATCACTATAGCAAATAAAATAATATACTAATAAATTAAAATAGAATATACTACTTTGGCATCCAGTGCTTTCTTAATAGTGATCCTTCGCTGAATTCTTGCTTCTCCACGTTCAATTTGAGCCATTATTTTCTCAATGTCCTGTAATTCATTGCAGCGTTCCCAAAATACAGCTGAAAATAGGAAGTTATTACTTTAAATTACTACCATTTAATCAAATGAATTCAAGGAATTATAAGATGAAGAATTAACATATAACAGACATGGTGTCATCTCTGTGTATATAACATGCTCAATTATTAAATGCTCTTGAATTATCGTTTTACCCAAATATGATGCAAAAGAACTCAAATGCATAAAGTGAAACACAAGTGTGAAGCATGTAAATTTAAAGATAGCTTTCTAGTAAACAAAACGGAAAATAAACTCATTAAAAGATCATTTATGTTTTTTCCTATGAAGTGGTAATTTTTATAGAAACTGTTGGTTATGTCTACAATCATTCACTAATCTTATGCATCCAATCACCTATAGTTTCTTGAAAGACAAGGGATTTTAACTGGAAACATACAGAAGAATATTCAAATCCCTGGGTCACCCAATCAAATTTTTACAGATTAGCCAAATGATCTGCTGTATTAATATGTCACAACTAATGACTTCAGTGAAAGGTTTTCTAATGACATTATCTATGTTTCAAAATTCTTTATTTTTAGAATGTATCAAGAACTGTATGTTAGCACTTTATCATTTGTATAAGCACTTATGTTCATTTATGTATTCTCCTACTTACTCATTCAACACACACACATGCATGCATATACACACACATGCACACACATGTAACTTCTTATGTTAAGATATGATATACTCCTGAACATCCAATAGTGTGAATTCTTTTCCTACAAATCAAATAAGCCCTGTCAATTGTTCCCACCCGCTGACATAGCTTCCAATATGATGCACAATAATTAATTAATCCTTCCATCTTCTTGCATTCTGAGGCAAATTCTCCAGAAAGACTGGTAGTGTATGTAGAGCCAGTGTAGGACACTTCTCTGGACTTAAAAGGTCCAGGGCTTTCTCCAAAGAACATCAGAAAAGAAGAAAGAAAATTCTTCAGAAAAATCTAACTGGACATGTCTTTCACACTCATTTCATGGTACTTGGTTTAGTGATAAATTCAAGGAAACATCTGACAGAAAGCCTTTTTGCCATTGTCATTTTGTTTTTTGTGGTGTTGGGAAGCAGACCTAGGACCTTTAGTTTTACCACTGAACTAAAACCCTAGCTCACTGTATCTTTCTTTTCTTTTGTTTTTCTTCCTCTTCATCTTTCTTTCTCTCTTTCCTCCCTTCTTTATTTCAGGGCTTTGAGTGGAACATGGAGACCTAGCCATAATGCTTAGTCTTTACATATTTGAAACATGATCTCCCCAGGCTTGCCTCAAACATGCTACACAGACTAGGCTGCCCTCAAACGCCAGCATCTCCTACTGCAGACTCCAAATGCTGCAATGGCAAGCATGGATCACCATGCTTGGCTACCTGGTATCTTTTAGAAACAATGTTATAACTTGCAACTTGACCCACACCAATGTCATGTCCCTCTATGTGCATGCTGTTTACATGGTTTTCACTCACCTTTCATAAAAATTTTTTATCTCTCATCTATTGTTCCCCCAAAGCCCTTAAGTTATGTTTTCAACCCTCCGATAAATAGATGTGGCATGCTAGTGTTCACGGAAAAAGAAGTTTATGAATTCCATGTTATATGAAATTTTGTCCAGACAAAATTAACTTCTAAATTCCCCTTTAGATTTCCAGAAGAAAAAAACAGACTATACATTCTTTAAGAATGGGGACTACATAGTGTCCTTCTTTGGGATTGCCACTAACCAAATTGGCCTCTGGATTATTCTGAACTTCCAATTAGAAAGGTGCTCTGTAATTACAACTGTTTCTCGTCAAGCACTAACTCGTACTCTAGATAAATTAAAAGCTGTATCTTTGATTTATTTATGAGTTCCATAATCTGGTTTTTTGTTTGTTTTTTTGTTCTTGTTTTGCTAATAAACACATAATTTCAATAGTTACCTCAAATAGCTGGGGCTGGCAAAGAAACCATACAACTGCTTTTGAACATGGCTTCTTTTGGAAAATGCTCTCAATTTAAATGCTTGATATTCAGACTAAATTTGAAAGGTCAGCCTATTTGAAATTTAACTACATATAGAAAACAGGTAGATTAACCTATTTTACTAAGATTTCTTTTCAGAAGCCTGAAAGTTTAGATATGCTCTGACACAGGAATTAATATTAACTCCACATGATTCTCTACAGTTATCCTGATTCTGATTGAGGCTAAAGACACAGCTGAGTAGGAGAGGGAAATGACTCAAGGACCACTGAACAGATTAAGCCAAGAAATCTTTTTAGATCTATTCTAAATTGCCTTAAGTTAATAGGGCCCTTCACTACCTGACTGAACCCCTTGAGGGCAGTTGAGTCTCTAAATGGGCCTGATAAGAACTCTCTACTGCAAAGATGACCTACAATGACTATTTCAAACCATTAAACCAGAAGCCTCAAGACGAAACCTTTAAAAGACCAAATCAAAGAATTGAGAGAATAGAAAACTTATGCAGTAACCCCTTTAGCTTATGCAGAGTTATCTTAGCTGTCTCCCAGGGACAGCTGTGTAGAAATATAATTATATCTTATATCTTAACTTATATCTCATTCACAAAAGTTTTAACATCTCTGAACAAAGATACAACTAGATTAAACAGGGGCTGGAGAGATGGCTCAGTGGTTAACACCACTTGCTTCCAGAGGACCAAAGTTTGGTTCTAGGTGCCCACATCAGACAGCTCACAACCACCTGTAGTTCGAGCTCCAGAGCATCTGCTGCCTTTTGTTCTCCATGGGCACCTACACATACATAGCATACGTTCACATGGACCAACACACACACACAAGTAAAAATAAATAAATCTTTTTATAGGACATGCATACATTTAATATATATATATATATATATATATATATATATTATGTTTCAAATGACATACAAACCTGAATACTCCATGACCTCCTCAGGGGATTTGCCCTCTACTTCTCGAGCTATATTATCAATGTCATCTCTCCCATACTTCTCATTGGCTTTAATAAACTGGTTAAAATCTCGCTTAGTCCAGTTTGTGAAGCCCTATGAATAAAAATTTAAACATCATCTGTAGATGTTAAATTAATAAATTTAGTTATTATCCTACTTGTATCTGTACAATGATGCATTAAAAGCCCTTGAAAATATCTAACATGTGCCCTTTTATAAAGCTCATTTCTTTAATGTAGAATCAAAAGCTGTGTTTGAGTTGTTACAGAAATAATTACTTTTCTATTTTAAAGAAAATGTACTTTTCAACTACTTTAAGTTGATTTATAATTCTAAGACATTGCATAGTCTTAATTCCATGTTTTCCAGATGCCTCCAACAGTAAAATGTAATTCTAATGTAAATTCTTATGTTTTGATATCTCAGTGTTTCAATGACTTTTCCCACAGATCAGTTCTCATGTAAATTAAAAGAGAGAGATATGTGAATCACCTCCCCTTGGGAGGTGCAGCCTTGCCAAGCCACACAGGAAGATAATGCAGCCAGTCCTGATGAGACCTGATAGGCTAGGGTCAGATGGAGGGGGAGGAGGACCTCTCCTATAAGGAGACTAAGGGAGGAGCATAGGAGGAGAAAAGGGAGGGAGGGTGGAATAGGGAGAAAAGGAGAGAGGGGCTAAAGTAGGGATACAAAGTGAATAAATTGTAATAATTAATAATAAGTAATAAAAAAGAAAGAGATGTATTGAATTGAAATAACCCTGAAAAATACAAAAAGAATGCTAGAAAACCTTTGTAGTTCTTTAGATCATTCCAAACTACAATGAATAAATAATTTCTGTTCAAAATTATATTCATAGGGCCCAAAAAGATGGAACAGCAGTTGAAACTACTAGCCATACAAGCCTGATAACCTGAGCTCAATCCCAGAATCCCATTGTGGAAACTGACTCTCAAAAGGTGTCTTATGACTTCTCCATACATACCTCAATACGCCCGTGCCTCTTCTAATAATAGTAAATAAAGTGATTTTTAAAGATTATATTCATAAATAGAATTTCTATAAATATAACATTACTCAGGTATCTGACCTTTTTTAGTAAAATATGTAACAACCAGTGTTTTAAGTCATTTTGCAATTTTTATTCCATCAATGGTAATGTAGCTCAGTTGGCAGAGACACTGTCTAGCAGGGGTAAAACCCTGAATTCAATGCCCAGTAGCACATATAACAGACATGGTGGCAAAAGATGAAGGCAGGAAGATAAAGCTCATCCTCAACTAGAGAGTTAATTCAAGGCCATCATGGAAAACATGAAAAAGTAAAAAAGAAAAATTAAGCACTTATAATTTGTAGCATTAAAAGGATGGCTTAAATGCAACTCTGAAGTAAAAACTTGACTATGCTTCTAATTATAAAGTCAATTATCTCAACTGAGATTACATATTGACATCATACTATACATTCAGAATATATTAGAAGCAGTCAAAAAGCCACAACATTATTTTTGTCTTCAGGAAGTAATTTTTGAAATTAAAATAAAAGCAAACATTAATATTTAAATATTTGTTTGGTGGTAGTTCTTAAAACCCTGCCAGCTGCAATTAACTTTCAAGCTAAATTTGGTAACTGCCAGGCACTTGTTCAAAAACTAATGAAAGTATTTTGTCAAAATTCATTCAATAAAACTATATGCATTAAAAGAAAAAGGTCCATATCAACATATGAATACAAAAACTCTTATTTTACTTTTAATTAACACGTATTCCTGACGCACAGTGTGATATTGTAAAGCACATTCCACAACTAGCATACACATCACTTGAAGCATTACATCTTCTTTTATGTGGGAAACACTCCAAACTATCATTTTCAATTACAGTGGAACTTCCTACTACTGTACCTTGCACATTGTTCCAAAGATTGTTGAAGAAATAAATTTAGCTGGAACTCTTCTTTCAAAAGGAATTTTTCATAAACAAGAAAAATGGTGTGGTAGAGTTTCAGAGATCAAGTCAAAGAAATTCAATTTTCAGGTATATGTTGGAAATTATTATTTATCAAAATTCAAACCTGAACTGACTGACCTTATTATAATTGATAAAAAAGTATGTCTTATTTTTAGTAACTGACACTTTTATTTTCCATGTATATGTTCACCCAATATTTCCAAGAAAGCATTTTCTACAAAGGGAATTTTCTAAACATTAAAGATATATGGTCAAAATATATGTTTATGGGTATGTCTGATCAGGATAACTGGACCTATAGAGTAAAAAGCAGGTGATATTTATACTTATTTCCTATAGGTTGGCTAGAAATAGTTCAGTCACTTAAATGGTTTACTTGTGTGAGAAGTTTATCCTTCTCTTCAGTCTCTTGTGGTGTAAGAGGTTCAGCTCCATCAATCTTTTCTTGCTCTTCTCTTTGAGCTATAGCTGGATTGGGGATCTCAGGGTTCCTTGGGACCTAAGATCAAGAGAGAAACAAATAAACCTAATAAGAAAAATTAATTAGGCAGAGCACACATGCACATATTAATCTAGAGAGTTATTTTAACAGTAAACAGTGGAACCTCAGAAGCAGTTGGCACACGGTCCTCTCAACATTTCTACCACTATGGTTTTACCCTAATAAAAACCATTCTTATACTGCATAGTATAATATTTTAGGATTTCAGTACATTGGTAAATGAATGCCACCTTGTAGACTAATTATCATTATGCTGTGTAACAAAATAAATCCTTATAATATGGCATTGTGTAGAATATATGCACATTTTGGTATTTACTGAGTCTATGGTAGTCTCCTGGTAGTATACAGCAGCACTGCACCTAAAGAAGATTTCCAATGTTCTGGTTTTCTTAAGTCGTGAAAACAATAGAGTGATTTTATTCCCTTCTAATGGTTGTAAAAATAGAGTATTTGGACTAAGACAGGTAGTCTAGAGAGAAAGGCAATATAAAGAAGGATTCATGGCAATGGAAAACTTAAAAAGTATATGCAGAGGGAGTGTATGGTAGAGCACACCAACAGCTGTAGTAGAACCATTACTCAAAGGAAAAAACTTGTGCACTGGCAGTGACCAACGGAGATTATACTAGTGTTCTTCAAAGTACAGAATTGCAAAAACACTGACAACTGAGAAGAAAACATGAACTGGAACTACTGGGGACAGAAACTGAGATTTCTGAGGAAACCAGCAGTCATAGGTATCTCGAAATGGTAGCTTGGAAGCCCTCACTGCATCACGGTGTGCACACAGTGGTTCAGCAGCACTGGACAGCATTCCTTGTATGGAAGAACAAATCTGCTTTCCAGCCTTTACGTTTCTTATCATTACTATAAACATCTGCAGCCATGACACAGCTTGGTGATTTAAGAGAGCAGATATGGAACTTGTGTGGAACATTTTGTAGCATTTCAACATGAAAATGAAAAGTTTGGCATTAACTGTTTCACCATTTGGAATGCACGCGTAATATAACTGACTCATTCGAAATAGACATACCACTATAAAATTATAACGTATATTAAAGGACATTTTTCTTATTGTTATATTTTATAGCATTTAAAACTGTATCATTAATGGTAAGCATTTTAAAAGTGTAATTAATATCCAATAGTTATTCAGGTAAAAACTGTGAATTCTCTCTCTCCCCTCAGATAAATAAATAAATGAAAAGGAGCTATGTCCTATGAGCTAGTAAAAAAAAAAAAAAAAAGCATTATTGCCTAGGAGTTCAACAAGATTTTATAGAAATATGGATTGCTAAATTAAACGTGGCAGCACAGAAAATGAGCGCAGTCGCCTGAAATCAACTCCCCATAGTTTAACAGGCAGCCCACAATGATACATTACCAAAGCTCACAAAGTATGTGGAACTTTATCCATTTGTCAAATGTTTATATTTGTCCCTAAAGAAATCTTTTGGGGGGCTAGACATTGGAATGGCCTAAAGCTTTCTGCAACTTTAAATATGGAAAAGCACTTTTACTCATGCTTTTAGATAGATTAAAATGTCCAGGTAACCTGAGCTTTTTTATTCTTCAGATAAAATTTCAATTTTCACCCTCTTCCAGTGATAAGACTTTGGTGAACAAGTAAGTATATTACATATCAACTCCTTTAATTTTAGAGAGAAATAAAGCCTTTGAAGATGTCTTACTTACAGCCAGGTCAAAGCTTAGATGGCAAAGAATTGACACTGTCAGCCACAAAGCGATAACAGTAAAGAAAACAAATGTTTCTCCCAGCCCCAAATCTTACTAGCCGTACTACTGTTGTGGTCTTAGTGTACCATATGAAGGAGGGTCAAATAGAAAATAAAAATGAGGGGGCAGAGCCAAGATGGCGACTAGCACACACAGTTTCCAAGCTGTGGAAGAGATAAAGTTCTGAGTTGATGAGTGGAAGAACTTCTGAAGCCAAGGAAACAACGGAGAGACTTTCTAAACAACAGGGAACATCGCAGGAGGTGAAAACCTTGGTCTCGGGTCACCCAGGGACTTGTTTGGGGAAGGTGAGAAACAATCCTTTGATCTCTTGGCACTCCCCTCCCCCAGACCTCCCTCCTCCTCAGCACAGCAGACTCGCCTTTCTCAGCACAGACCTAACTGCCTGGGGCCTGCAGCCACTGAGGCGGAGCCCCGAGCCCTTTATCAGCAAAGGCCAGCAGTACTGTGTCTCGGAGCCCCAGATTCCCGCGCTGCGGCTGCACCATCCTCCCAGGGCCCGAGTCTGCTAGACGCCATACTAGCTCCTCAGGAGCGCCATCTCTGACAGTACAGCCCGCCCAATCCCACAGTGACAGAGAATACGCTATATACTCACCAAAACCAGACAGAAACGCCATACAAGCTAGACACACCAGGCGCTGGGCCTCCCAAGCTTGGAGAGCACAGTAAAGAGACCCCAGGACATCCCAGAAAGCATCTGGACTAGCAACCCAGTCTCCAGTTACAGCGGGACTTTCTACCCTGGCGGCAGAGCAGCACTGAGCTGGCGGGGCACATCAGCCCTCCAGTTTAAGACTAACCAGAGCCAAACCAGAGAACAGAAAGGCTGGTTACCCCGATTCCCACTGACGTGACCACCCTGAAATCTCCAGCTGCAGCAAGACCTCATAACCTGGCAGTGACAGCAGCACGGAACTGGCAGAGCACATCAAAGAAGCAGGGCCAAACCAGAGAGCAGAGAGCCCAGATACCCGGATCTCTGCCAAGTGACCTGCCTGTAAGTGAGTGCACCCTTGAGAATCTGCAGCTCCCCTGATCCTGGGTCCTTCTAAAACAGAAGACAGGCATCAAACCCCCTCCCACCCATATACCCACTTTGGGAAACAGAGGGGCACTTGGAACATTGAAGTTCCTGCTCTGTGGGTCTAATTGAGGAGTTAAGGCAGTTAATGCCAGAAATTGCGCTGCGATCATCACTAGCGCCTGCGACATATACATTGCAGAGCCCCTCCCACACACTCAAGGGTTCAACATTAGCCATCACTCTGTCCCTCGAGACACACGCCCACGCCCACTTACACACACACACACATATACACACGCACGCACGCTTGCATTTGCCTCTGTTTGCGCCTGCGTACTTTCCTCCCACAGGTACAGCTAGTCCTCAGCACACGCTAAGGACACGGGTCCTCTCTCAACTTCCTGAAGAATTCTCCAGACTCGAGAGAGAGACAGTACCAGTCTGATCGGCAGAATCCAAAAACAAACAGGGAAGGTCTCAGATAAGCCAATGGCCAGGGGTAGGCGAAAGAACACTTCCAACATAAATCAGGACATCATGACTTCACCAGCAAACCCGAAAATCGATGGATACTCCAATTCATCAGAAGTACAGGAAAATGACTTTAAAGCCATGCTTGCTCAATTATTTGAGGCTCATAAGGAGGAAATGAACAAATCTTTCAAAGACTTGGCCAGTCAATTGGAGGTAAAGAAAGAAGAAATAGACAAAACCCTTAAAGAAAAACAGGCAAACATAGCCAAACAAATAGAGGCACAAGTAGAGAAAAAATTAGTGGCATAAAAAAGAAAATGAACAAAGAAATAGAGTCCATCGTAGAGAGACAGGAATCCAAATTCAAACACATGAAAGAAATGGTGCAAGGCATGAAAACAGAATTAGAATCAATAAAGAAAACACAAAATGAGAAAACTCTTGAGCTGGAGAACTTGGAGAAAAGATCAGGAACCACAAAAGTAAGCATCACCAACAGAATACAAGAGATGGAAGAGAGAATCTCTGGAGCTGAAGACACACTTGCAGAAATTGATACTTCTCTCAAAGAAAAAGTAAAATCAGAAAAGTTCCAATCACAAAATATCCAAGAAATCAAGGATGCTATGAAAAGACAAAATCTAAGAATAATAGGAATTGATGAAAAAGAAGACTCCAGGCTCCAAGGTCCAGAAAATATTTTCAAGAAAATCATAGAAGAAAATTTTCCCAACTTAAAGAAAGAGATGTCCATAAATATACAAGAGGCCTACAGAACACCAAATAGACTAGACCAGAAAAGAAACACATCACGTCACATCATAGTCAAAACACTAAATCTACAGAACAAAGAAAAGATATTAAAAGCAGCAAGGGAAAAAGGCCAAGTAACATATGAAGGTAGACCTATCAGAATCACACCAGACTTCTCATCAGAAACTATGAAAGCCAGAAGGGCCTGGGCAAGCATCATGGAGACTTTAAGAGATCACAAATGTCAACCCAGACTACTATACCCTGCAAAGCTTTCATTCAACATAGATGGAGAAAACAAAATATTCCATGACAAAACTAAATTTACGCAATATCTATACAGCAAACCAACCCTACAGAAGATACTAGAAGGAAAACTCCAATCCAACGAAAACGAATTCACCCAAGAAAACAGGGCATACAGATAATATCCCAACAAAAAGGAAAAGAAAACAAGCAATGAAACAAGGTAAGATCATCGACTCCATTACAAAAGGAACTATCATGCATTGGTCAATATTATCTATCAATATTAATGGACTCAACTCACCAATAAAAAGACACAGGCTAACAGAATGGTTACGGAAACAGGACCCAACATTCTGTTGCATCCAAGAAACACACCTATGCAACAAAGATAAACACTACCTCAGAGTAAAGGGCTGGAAAAATGTCTTTCAAGCAAATGGTTCCAGAAAACAAGCGGGAGTAGCCATCCTAATATCTAATAAAATAGACTTTCATCCGAAGTTAATCAAAAAAGATAAGGAGGGCCACTATATTCTCATCAAAGGAAAAATCCAACAAGAGGACATCACAATTTTGAATATCTATGCCCCAAATACAAGAGCACCTACATTCGTAAATGAAACAATATTAAAGCTTAAATCATACATTGATCCTAATACCTTAACAGTGGGAGACTTCAACACCCCACTCTCATCAAGGGACAGATCAACCAGACAGACACCAAATAGGG